TCATGGATGTTTAAAGTTTAACGTCTTCATATTTGTCTAATATTATAGTTGACTTTTCATTCAGGAAGTATGACGCGCTGCGCTGTCAGTACGCTTGTCCATGTTTGTGATTGGTCGAAAGCTCCAACTACCACCCCTTTCATGTGAACGCGCACCTAACTAGATAGGGCAAAGCTGGCTTGAGTTAACGAGTTCATAACCAGCGTCGTAGGACAGTTTAGCGAGAGCGCGTTTGTTTTGGATTAGGTAAGCCGGGTAACTCAAACATATCATCCAGGTTAGGTTGAACCGGCTTCGTAGTATGGGCCTCTGGTAAGTGGCCGGTAAAAACAAAGATCAAAAAGAAGATTGCAGTGTTATTTCTGATTGGCTCTCAGAGTTTCGACAGTCGTTTTTTAAGCTAATAGCACATTAGTTAGTAAATTATTAGTAACTAGTAAATTGAGATTGTACGGACCCAGTGGTAGAGGTAAAACGCTGCCCCGTTGATTCACCTGACTCGGTCTTACACATTGCACCTTAAAAAACATCTGTAACTATTAAATATCTCAAGTGCAAAAATGGCAGCAGAACACGAGGGGATTCATTTTGGTGTGACAGTAGATAAATAAGAAGTCCCTTTCTCACTCGCCTCCATCTATTTACTGGGGGTGATCTTGTCAAGTCCTGGCCACGTAGGGATGTAGTAGCGAGGCAAAGTGCCTTCCATGAGCCTTTCCATCCATAGCCCCAGGCGGTCCAGCTTGTGGTGGATCTGCAGGGTGGATAAGCTACGGGATCGCTTGGATCTGCGCGGCGGATTGTCATCGCGGGAACTGGACCTCGACCTCCCCCCTGAAGCGGCCCCTTCATCCTCTGATGACTTGCTGTCTATGTCTTCCCCGGTGTAGACGGGTTTAAACAGACAGAGGTACTTTTTGTGTCCGTTGAGTGCCAGCACGTAGCCTGTGTAGTCCATCTTGTGGTTTCCTGCGTCATCTTCATCGATCTGCATGGCGTCCTGGGCGTATTCGAGCAGTGTGTCCATCCACTCGCCGTGTTTGTCGATGTTCAGGAAGGAGAAATGTAGTGTCAGGCTCCTAGGGGAGTGTTGAAAGAATGAATTTGACGAAGTATCGAGAAAAAGGATTACACAAATGTGTGGAAAAGAGATTGTTTATCTCACCCTGTGAAAGAGTAGACCTCTTTAGCGTACTTGCCAAGTAGGATGTTTTTGGAGGCGTCAGTGAGCACCAGCACTATGTTCATGTGTCCTGGCCTCAGCTTCACCAGGTTGCTCATGTATGTGATGTCTGTCAGCTCTGTCACCTCCACAAAATTCTTCTTTGGAGGCCGACTAAAACCAATAAGTAAAATAAAAAGCTTAAAAGACAATTATAAATCCTTCACTGCATTTATATGGAAATTATAATTGTAATCTTGCCTTGACGCACTACCGTTCCCTGGTGACCCATTTTCAGATTTTGTCCAATCCTTTGCCTTTGGTTTAGTCTGCTTATCTTCACTGGAGTCACTTAAAAACACACAAAAACATTTTTTTCCAAACAGGGTTGCACTAGCGTAGAAGAGTAAATATTAAGCATCATTTTATTATTTTTATTTTACATTAGCTTTTTTTTTTATATAGTGTCTTACACTAATCCAAGGAAAGGCTGATGTTGCTATGGTTACAGTTTTGGTGGATGGGTAAAGTAACCGACCTGAAGGCCTGGACGACGACAGTTCCAAACAAGATGAACAAGGCAGAGAAGATGAGGGACAGAAGAGGCATCATCTCACGCCTGCAAATCAACACAGAGACACATCTAAAGAGCTGCTTATTCCACTATGGCGATAAATACAGAAATAATAATATTAGTATAAATCCCAAATAAAGTGCGGAGGTATGGCATTTGCCAAATGAATTATGCTAAAATTGCCCTTGAAGTAATGGAGTTTGTTGACGGGAAGAGTATCATGAAGAAGTGTTAATAATGTATATGTCAATGATAAAGGATTGCATCACCAAAACATTTTTTAAATAAGTGTTAGAAACGTTTTCTAGCAAATTAAATGAAAACTGTAACTCAGCAACGGTTATTCAGTAACATCAAAATCATGTTTTTTTAAAACATGTTTTTGGAGTTGCTTAAAACTAAACATCACTACCTACCAGTTGTTATGCAGAATATCATCGATGACTTCAGATAGGTAATCGTACGATGCATAGATCCATCGGATAACAAACATCTACACAGAGACATTAAAACATTTAGTAACACGACTAATGGTTGGTATCTAACACGGACAGGCATTGTTAAAGCCCATTGCTTTACTCAAAGACAGCGTACAGAGGCAAACTCGTTGTTGAGCTCGGGCAGCATGGCGTCATGGACGAGGATGGACGGGTCCTTCTGAAGGCGCTCCAGCTCCTCCAGGAGACGCTGCTTGTCGTCATCGCTGCCGTTCCAGGCGGTCACTGGCTTGAACAAGGCCTTCCCTGCAGCATTACGCCTCTCCAGGATAACCACCTGAGGGAAGAAAACCCCTGTTAATATTATTTATGTCCGTACATTTCTCCTCAATTACATTTAAACATAACATTGGAGTATAATTTAAATCTGTTAATGTAAGTAACTGACTGGGGAAATTACATGGTGATTTATTTGTTACCCTGTTTTACCCAGTTCACCTATAGTGTTTTTAAAAATGTATGAATTTTACAATTTGTATCTACATTTTTCTCATACTCTGAACTTGAAATCTCCAATTCAGTAGCACTTAGATGAACCATATAGATACATACCTATCTGTATGATGATGTTTGTAAAGAGTAGTTTGTTTATATATCATTCATAGCCATAACATTCCTAAAAACATTCCCGCTATTTGTTTTGGCAGTGAAGTAAAACCCTTCAAATCATAATCTCTTCGTCTCAAATCTTTGTAAAAATACATTGCTTAGCCAATAGCTTTCATGCATTCTATATCGAAAAGTGGTACCTGTTCGCAAATGACCATAAAAGCTTTAAATGAGCTGAGCAACTTAAAGCTGTGGTGTTGGTTGAACAGGTGTACCTGTGCTGGAGACTCTGCAGTGTCCTTGTTCTGCATGAAGATGTCACAGAGAGGTTGCTGTAGCCGTTGGTAAACATATGAAAATCTCACTACTTCCTTGCTATTGGTGGAGGCAAAGGAAAGAAACGCATGGTTCCCAAAAGAAAAAGTCTCTTCATCGCCTGTTATCAGCAGGACACAGTATCTGAAGAGAGGAAAGACATAACATAATGCAAAAGCTACATCTCTTAAAATACTTCAAAAGAAATGTGGAAATTATAGCATCGAACAGAATTATTTTGGTTCTGTATTTTAAATAGTCTCTGACAAAAAAAAGAAAGGAGGTGTAAGATTCTCTTACTTTCTTCTTCTATGAAACTGTTTGACAGGACAGAGCTCATCAAAGAGTTTCTGATTGACCAAACGTGGCACGAGAAGAAAACGGTTGTTTGACATGAACTCATCAATAATTTGCTTTTTCATTCCTTTAGCCTGCAGAGAACAAACATAACCATAAATAAAAAAGAGTGAATGAACATTTTTGTGAACAAAAGTGCAGTGTATAGATAACAGTGAATAATAGCTCTCTGCTGCTGTGACTGACCTGTATAATGTCAGCGGGCTTTTCAATGCTCTCTTTGAACACCAACATGGTCGGAGCGTAGGTGTTAATATTGAACTGTTTCTGCAGATCAGCGGTCTCTGAGAGGCCCTGGTCCACATAGCCAAACTGCAAGTAGTCCTTATAGGCGAACGCTGTGAGCTATGAAGATGTAGAGAGAAAGGATTGACATGTAAGCGATGCAATTACTGGTACTTTTCTTTAAAAATAAAAACATAGCCTTTACCGATGATGGATTGAATTTAGTTAAAATATCTTAAAGTGTAACAATAAGCACATTTGCCAAACTTAAAAAAAAAAAATTAAAAAGTGAGTCACATTTATCTTGAGGTCAATAATTGGCCAATTTGCCTTTTTTGGAGATTCTGTCTACTCTTATAATACCCTAATTGCTACCATGATAATCCAGATGATGGCACTCTTGAATATCCAACTAATTTAATAATAAATATATTTTTTGTTTAAATTTAAAAGCTGAATATATTTCACTAATAAGTGAAAACGTTTTAACCTTTTCTCCTTGACTGAATTATCGACTCAGATAATTTAGTCTAGTTCATCAAGCAAAGAAAGTATTAAGCTTTTGGAGAATTATGGTACCGCTGTATAAATATACTCGTGTTTTTATTTATTTCTCTTTTAATAGTCTCATTTTATTTTCTTGCATATCTTTTCTGTACTGTATGTACTGATATTTAAAAAAAAATGTTGCATATTTTGTGAATAAAAAAAAGCATTTCAAACTGCAAGAGCCTACCTTGTAAAGCAGAGGAACTACAGGCACTTGGTCAAACAGAAGCACATGAGGCTTGTTGAGCTCATGCCAGCTGCTCAAGAACTGCAGGTAATTCTTGTCGGTGACCTGAAGTACACAAAAAGCACAACATTTAACTCGTTTTTTATTGTATAGCCATTAAAAATCAGTACACCTAAATCTTACATGGCCAATATTTTAGTCATCCTCCCTAAAAATGTACTGATTGCAAAAAGTGTAAGATGCGGAGATACATACCCACTCTACAAGTCTTTGAGGGAGAAGGTCTTCTACAAACTGCCTGAGGTGCTCCTTTGCTACAGCGTAATGGAAAAACGTCACTTTGCCATTTATAACTCCCAGTATGGATGGTGTGCGGTGAGCGCCAAGGTGATTGGCTAACCTTCTTTCATAGCCAACATCCACCACACCTATCCCGACACCTGCAAACACAGCATTTTCTCAAATATACACACATCAACCTTTTCAAATCGCCAAAATGCACACAGATGGCCGGGCTGCTCAATAATTCTGCATGATTGACAGGCTATTTCCAAACCTAGAGTCTCCATCTCCTGAACCACCTCTTTCCAAACAGGCTCAATGTGGATGCAGCTGAAGCACCAGTCGGACGTGATCTTTATCAGATACGGTCTCTTGTAGCTGTCAGGCACCACCTCGTTGACATACTGGTTAAAGTGCAACGTGTACTTGCTGTCAGCAAAGTCCCTCTGGTTCTTGCTGTTAAAGGGAAAGTTGAAGAAGGACTCATCAAAATAAAAGCCTTCCTGGCGCTGACCGTAGCGACCGTTGCCGCCGTATGGCTGCGTGTCATCAGTCTGCCCATAACGGTCGTAATTGGCACGTTTGTCTTCACTGGACAGGATCTGGATTTGGGATGGAATAAATATAAATACAGAAGAAAAAACATAAATATCATGTGCAATATGACCATTCAATATCATGTGCAATATTTAGATTTTTCAATATCGGGCCCAATATTAGCTTTCAATTTTAGTAAACATATTATTATTCATTTATCTTACTTTCAATGTTTTCTTTTAGGACATTTTGTTAATATTACTTCTTATACACACTGTTTGTTTTTTCATTCTTATGTTTTGTGATTTTTGATAAATCTCTGGCAAGAATTTCCTTCTGAATTATAAAAATGATATCTTATCTTCCTTCTTCCTCATGCACATGTTACGGTCTTTTATCACGGCTTACACAGAATATATGATACTTACGGTAACCCTGCGCACAATATAATGATGAATTTGGACAAATGACTAACCTCATAAGATTTAGTAATCTTAATAAACATGTCCTCAGCTCCTGGACTCTTGTTTTTGTCCGGATGCCTTGACACAAGAAGAAGATGCTTATTATAAGAATACATGAAAGAGGTTAACAAAACAGGCCAGTGACACTGTACTGTGAGAAATACTTACCATTCTTTTGCCAGACGCTTGTAAACCTTTTTGATCTCCGCCTGGCTTGCACTCCTGGTTACTCCCAGGATTTTGTATGGGTCCATCTCAGGCCCAGCAGCATGGGCCACTCCTGTGAGCAGCACCGAGAGGACCAGCACCAGAGCCAGCGGTGCGGACATCTTTGACCCTGCCATCATCGCAGAAACCTTTTGCACATCACAAGAATAATCAACAGTTAAGGTGGATTCATTCTGAGGATGTTCAGGCGTCTGCAATCATGACATTGCCTTTAGCTGACTTGCAAATCTAAAACAGCATGTCTTCCATACGGATGTTAGCATAGTAATGATGAAAAGGGATGACAACCGGGTAGCTATATTAAAACGGCATTTAGCATGCTAACTACAGAAGCTAGGCAGTAGGCTATGTGTCAACTTACAAGTGCAGAACAGATGGTACCGTATCATAATGCAGCTGACATGTCAGTAGGATGTGACATTAACCTTATTCCTCGAGGATAAAGACATTCATGCAGTTTTTTCCTTCATTAAGATTAGTTGCGTTGCTAGCTAGCTATCTAAACGCAACAAGCTCTAAATTCACCTGAAGCAGATGCAGTCAGCCGGTCGTACGTCACATATTTGATGAGCGTTTTGATGTTCCTCGGCTTGATGTGAAGAGAAAGCGAGATGCACAGGGTGTGTTCCGCAGCTCCTCCAGGGCGAGATCACAAACTGCTGCTGATAGGAGAGAGAGGGGGAGGCGCCCAGTGTCGAAATTAATTTGGGGATATTGAGTATTTATGACACCTAATCATTTGCTTCATATGTTTGTGTTCGGTTTATCGCCCGTCGCTCCGTGTTCATGCATTATGTTACGCTGGTATTGCGGCAGCGGTGTGCGGTAAATAAAATCAAGCGCACCCTGTTTTTTTCTGTAGGTAGTCTCTCAGTGGACCAATCACAGACAGCGGTGATGTAAACAAGGAAATTGCTAATGCAACCGAGAGGAAACAAGAGAAATGAGACAGGAACTTCTAATATCTTTACGGGAACAACGTATCATTTCGCTTTCACAATTTAAGGATAACGACTTGCTCTGTTGTTGAAACAAGATTTTCGGCTTTTATACGGCTTTTACGATATTTTTCTGTCTACCTCGACGAATTAGTGTGTAGTATTAAATGGAGGAACGCCAAAAGAAGATCCTCCAGCGCAGCAGGACCAGTCTGGTGAGAGACTTGGACCCATCGAACCTTTATGATGGTCTTATTGAAAAGGGAGTTTTTACCCAAGACATGATCGATGAGATCAAGGTAAGACAGCTGTATGGGTCAGGGTCACGTCATTAGGTTGCAGATTCATTTATACATTAAGTAGTATTTATTCCAGTGTACAGTAATTCATTTTACATTCTGTTCTTGTTCATCTTGTTCTATTTTACATAGACACCTGCATTAACTTGATCACTTTCAGCATTCTCTGCCACATTTAGCTTATTGTATCTTACATGTAGCCTACTTTATATCGTTGTTCACTTATTCTGCCTTACTTCCACAATGATCTTGCAACATAATCTTGCACTAATTTATTTCTTCTCTGTTTCTTCTTGCACAATTGTTATTGTTTTTATTGTTTTATGTTTTATATGTACAGTGGGGCAAAAAAGTATTTAGTCAGCCACCAATTGTGCAAGTTCTTCCACTTAAAAAGATGAGAGAGGCCTGTCATTTTCATCCTAGGTACACTTCAACTATGAGAGACAGAATGGGGGGAAAGAATCCAGGAAATCACATTGTAGGATTTTTAATGAATTAATTGGTAAATTCCTCGGTAAAATAAGTATTTGGTCACCTACAAACAAACAAGATTTCTGGCTCTCACAGACCTGTAACTTCTTCTTTAAGAGCCTCCTCTGTCCTCCACTTGTTAACTGTATTAATGGCACCTGTTTGAACTCGTTATCAGTATAAAAGACACCCGTCCACAACCTCAAACAGTCACACTCCAAACTCCACTATGGCCAAGACCAAAGAGCTCTCAAAGGACACCACAAACAAAAATTGTAGACCTGCCACCAGCGCTGGAAGACTGCAATCTGCAATAGGTAAGCAGCTTGGTGTGAAGAAATCAACTGTGGGAGCAATTATTAGAGAATGGAAGACATACAAGACCACTGAAATATCTCCCTCGATCTGGGGCTCCACGCAAGATCTCACCCCGTGGGGTCAAAATGATCACAAGGAACGGTGAGCAAAAATCCCAGAACCACACGGGGGGACCTAGTCAATGACCTGCAGAGAGCTGGGACCAAAGTAACAAAGGCTACCATACAGTAACACACTACGCCGGCCAGGGACTCAAATCCTGCAGTGCCAGACGTGGTCCCCCTGCTTAAGCCAGTACATGTCCAGGTCCGTCCTGAAGTTTGCTAGAGAGCATTTAGATGATCCAGAAGAGGATTGGGAGAATGTCATATTGGTCAGATGAAACCAAAATAGAACTTTTTGGTAAAAACTCAGATAGACGTGTTTGGAGGAGAAAAGAATGCTGAGTTGCATCGACAAGAACACCATACCTACGTGAAAATCAATGGGGGTGG